CAAGGCAGGCGATGGAACCACTGAGGAATCCCCAGCCCCAGAACAAATTATTTTAAAAAATTGTTCTTTGCCACTGTTTATTATTTCATATCAGTTAAAATATCACTTATTGGCTTTGTTCCTTGTTTGAGAGTATAATCCACTCAGATATATTTAGGTTGAATAAGCCTTGTGAAAAAATAATAATTTATATTTATCCCATTGGGGAAGAAATAAACTGCCACCTATGTTATTTGATGTTGCGTTGTGGTGATGATAGTGATTAGTTGTATTTTTTAAGTTTTTGTTTGTTTTCACCACTGTAGATTTAACCCAGGGTCCTCAGGCATGCTAAGCAAGTGTCCAACCACTGAGCCACATCTCTAGCCCTTTTTATTTTGAGACAGGGTCTTGCTAAGTTGCCCAGCTGTCGTCAAACTTGAGCTTCTTATGGCTCAGGCCCCTGAGTAGATGGGATTACAGGTGTGCACCATCACATCTAGTTCTTTTTTTTTTTTTTAATTTTTTAAATGTCTGTGCTAAACACTTCAAAGTCTAAAATAACTTGTGAGAAAGTAATTTTAATTTGAACTAATGGTACAGTAAGCATTATTGTTCATTACTTATCTCTTTAGTGACAACTAAAAAAGATTGATACAAAGGAGACTCTAGAAGAGGGGGAAGTTACAAAAAGTAACTATTGGTCTCTTGACTGGCTCATATTTTATCTATCAAATATCTTGGCTCATATACTGTACTCAAACCTATATTTTTGATTAAACTACTTTATCACTTTAAATATGTTCTAAAACAAGCAAGCTGCTGGATTAAAACAACAGCAACATAATATTTTGCCATGCCAAGCTGTTTGTGTAAAGCGAAGGAGAGCTGAGTAAAGCATCCATCTAAGGACACATGCTAAAATGGAGATTGTTAGGATTTTTTTGTTTTGTTTTGGTTAGGATTTTAATTTGCCAAAATGAATCTGGACCAAGACACTGAAGTCTATTCCCTGTTCCCCTTTGAGTATAGAGACAACTCAAAGGTGAAAAATTAAACCTTGGCATCTACTGGCATAAAACCAGTTACCTGACTTGCAAAGCTCTAGTAATGTAGGTTTTACTCCAGGAGTCAGCTGCAGTTTTTGTTTCGTATGTCTTGTGGGATCCTAGGGATTCCAGATGTTCTCATATTCTGGGTGCTATTAATTGGGTTTTACATAGTAAGGATTAAAATCATGTGGTATCGATGGACATTTTAATTTAAAATAAATGGCAACAGACTTTAAAAAAAACATGAAATGATCAGAGATTTCGTGAACTAAACTCTAAATTATAGTTTTGATTTCCAGTGCAGTTAAATTTCTCCATTGACTAAGAGAAACCTGCTCTAGCTAACTGAAGTAGAAAAAGGGTTTCCAGAACTTGCAGACTTGCTGAAAAGGCTGGAGACATAGGCCAAAATATAGGGAGGAATTAAAAGCAGTTCAGATTTTGTGCTCATAATTAGATATGAAAAGTCTGGCTAGGAAGTTAGTTTTGTTTCTATAAATTAAGTCCTTGAAGTTGAATTTTTTTTTTTTTGTCAGAGCATCCTATTGACTGCCTAGATCAGCACTTCTCTTGTTTCTAACTTTCAGGGTTTCTGTGAGGTCAGAACTATTTTTTATAATAATGCTTAGGTATTATTTGCCCTTCTTACTGTGTTGACATTGGCACTGATGCTATAAAAGGATTGGTGAGCTGAAGTGCTGGTGCCTCAAGAACATGGCATAGCTGTATGTAGATTATCAGCTTCTTACTGACATACTTCTAACAGTAAATATCTGGGGCTTTTCCTCACACCAATACATTCTCCATATCTCTGGATACCAACTGGGTGTCTTACAGTGCACTTCAGTTCTGGCATGAAGCACCAGCACTAGTGTCAAAAGTTTAAAGGAGGGCCGGGGATTTAGCTCAGTGGTTCCACCGCCTGCCTGGCAAGTGCAAGGTCCTGAGTTCGATCGTTGGTACCAAAAAAAAAAAGTTTAAGGGCGTAATCTTGGAAGACTCACCTAGATGCCACTCACGAGTATGTATGGGTCCCACAGTTACCATACTTCTGCCTAACTCAGCTACAAATCAGACATTCCCACGACCCTCACCCCCTCAGGTTTGGTAATTCACCGGAGGGACTCACGGGCTCAGAAGACCATTGACTTTCCGTGGAGGACATAGTGCAGGAACAGCCTAATAGAAGGGATGCATGGGCAGGGTACGGGGAGGCAGAGTCTGCATGTGCTCTCCAGGCACCTGCACTGGTCCCCAACCTGGAAATTCTTTGAACTCCTCGTTTGAGGCTTTTTATAGAGGCCTTATCACACAGATGTGATTAATCACATCATTGGTTCTTGGTGATTTGGCTCTCCAACCCCAGAGTTTGGAGAATGAGGTTGAAAGTTCTAAACTTCTAATCACAATTTGTCTTTCTGGCAGCCAGCAGCCTCCTCCTGAGCTTTGTAGAGGCCCCACCCTAAGTCACTGTATTAACATAATCTCAGGTAAGATAGGAAAGGGCTTGTTAGGAACAACAAGGGAGATTCCTGCCCCTCAGGAAATTCCAAGGGCTTTAGGACTTCTGTACCAGGAACCAGGGACTGAGACCAATTATGCATTTTTTTATTATACTAGATAGTAGTCTAGCTATTTTCGTTTTGCATGTAGTCTAGAGCTTAATCTTTTTAAATTGCCAGATATTTCATAGCTGTTTAATGAATAAGCAGATAGTGTGATATGAAAGCTCGCTTGCTGGAACCAGATTGCCTGCATGTGTGTAACTTCAGCACTTACTAGTTGTATAAATAGGGCAGCATATAACTTCTCTGAGCTCCAGTTCACTCTGCTGTGAAGCAGCAGTAATAATAGTACTTAGGGATATTGTGGAGATTAAATAAGTTAATACAAAGACATAATTTAGAACAGTAAATGGTTTGTAGTAAACAGTAAATGTTAGTTATCATACTCATTATGATCATCATTACCAAATCAAGTCCCCAGGAAGCTGGTCACAGGAGAATGGATCCAAGACATGAATCTAGGCTTTTTGGGTTTTTGTATAGCTGGATAATGAGCCATCAAGTCAAAATACTAATCTGGCAACATGAAATGCTATTGGTTTTAGATAAAATATACAAAATGTCGCTGCCCGCTGCACAAGTGCAAGGACCCAAGTTCGATCCCAGGTACCAAAAAAAACAAAACAAAACCAAAAAAACCCAAAAAAACCAAAATGTGAACTTTTTCCTCTTTACTACAAGTTTGTAGCCTGAGCTAGTATAGAACAAAACCGAATTAAGTTACAAACAAATATTTAAGGAATAAAACTTGAAAAGAATATATCACTTAGGGCCGGGGATTTAGCTCAGTGATTCCAGTGCCTGCCTCGCAAGTACAAGGTCCCGAGTTCGATCTCCAGTACCAAAAAAAAAAAAAAGAACATATTACTTAGTTTACAGGGGTTTTTTTATAGACAGGTATAAATAGTAGGTTTTTTATTGTATGTACTGTACAAAAGCTGTAAAATAATAGACTGGTTTAATTAGTCTTGCTTAGCCATTATCTGACAATATTAAGACGGTGTCCTTTTCTTTAATCTGCAGTTTTTTAGGAGACCCCATTTTTGGCAGGGCAGGGTTGTGATGTGTTGGCTCCAGCTGATAGCATGCTGCCTGAAGTGGGTAAGTTCCTAGCAGGCGTTTGCTGGAGAAGTAATACATGTTCGTGCAAAAAACTTTATTTTCTGCTCTGCTGGAAAATTTAAAGAGTGTACTTTCACTAAATAGAGTAAAATTTCATGGTGTACTTCCAGGACCTGGCCTCTGTTATATGGTTGGTGGGCATGAGATGCAGCAAGGAGGAAGGGGTAAAATGTGAGAGGAAATACTCTCAGACACAAAACTAAGTGGAAGAGGACAATATAATTGAGCCTTTGGTTTTCTTTTTCTGTTTTTGGTACTGGGGATCGAGTTGAGGGAGCGCTGAGCTACATCCCTTCCCCTTTTCATTTTATTTTGAGACAGGATCTTATTAAATTGCTCAGGCTGGTGTCAAACTTGCAGTCCTCCTGCCTCAGCCTCCTGAGTAGGTGGAATTACACGTGTGTACCACCTCACCCAGCTTGTTTTGTTTTAAAGGTCCTATTCTCCTCAAATCTTGTTTTAGCAGTATACTGGGCTGGCCAAGTCTCTGAATGCCAGCCATGCCAGACTCCCATTTGAGGGAACTCGCTAACTCCTGCTGTGTTAGCTCACTCCCCTTTTGTATTTAGGCCCTGTCCACAACTGAGAGGACCCTGGAATAACCGAGATTAATAAATTGTGGCTTGGCTCATAACAGTGAACTGAGTTAAACAGATTTTTCCCTGAAGAATGTAAAACTAAAATGTGAAGAGAGGGGGACAGTTAATGAGGGGTGTAAAACTGAAACAGCATATTAGTAAGTATCGTTATTTGAGGATAAAATGTCACCATGTGTTATGGGGGAGCAAAACTATGAGAAATCAGAGAATTCTATTCAGTACCAAAACAGAAGGAATCATACCTGACGTTGAGCTGTGTAGTTAATAAGGAAAGCAGTAGAAAATTGGCTGTGTGCTTGATTAATTGATTCATTAAACAAATAATTTATTGAGTTACAGCTGTGTACTAAGCAATATTCTTGTCCAGGAGCATTACTCTGAAAAACAGTCCAGCCAGTGATTTTCAGCCAGCTTTGATTTTGCCTTCCAGACATTTGGCAGTGACTGGAGACATTTTGGCTGTCAAAGGCAGAGGGGAAAGTGCTCTTGCCACTTGCTGGGTAGAGGCCAGGGATGCTGCTTACATGATCTATAGCACACAGGACAACTCTCCGTCAAAAAATTACCTGGTTCAAAATGTCAGTAGCTCTCAGGTTGAGAAACCCTGGATAAACCATCATAAATACACATTGCACAGAATAATTGTTACCTTGTAGTTGACATTTGACTTTTTCTGTTTTCAGAAGTGAGGACATCGACTGGGTGAAATGGATGCCTCAGTAATATTACCCATTTTGAAGAAAAAACTAGCCTTCCTTTCAGGTATGTTTTCTTCAAACTGGAAGTGTTTGATGTATAAGCTTGTTTAAATTTCTGTGATAAGTTTGACAGAAAACACTTTATTTTTGTATGAAAGTTTTTAAAGTTCTTTTAATCGGAATGAATATCTGTGTGAGCTAACAGTGCTGGTACCTGGCAGGCCATTTTTTGTTCTGATCTGGTAACTGGATTAAAATAACATCTAGCAGGTAGAAGTCATGATTTCTCTTCTCATATAAAAACTAATTACTAGTAGTTGACTAATTGACACCTAAATTATTGTTTCTGGAATCCGCAATAATTCGTTTTTGTGCTGTCCTGTGCCTTACCTTGTGTGTTGATCTTCCTATGAGAAAGTTGCAGTGCACTAGTGGAGTTAGGAAGTATCAGTTGCACTGTTTTCACTGTTTGAAATTGGTTTTGGCACAGGCTTGAATTTACAAGAGGTCTGTATTGGCTGTGAGATCCTTGCTAAGGTGAAAGTAATGGTGTGGTACATGAATTCCGTTTTCTGGAATTCAGATTATTGAGTAAATCTGCACATACCTTGAAATAGGCACTGTGGCCCTCCCAATTTAGGGTTCTTCTGGACCATATTATCTTAGTTTTTCTTTTTTATTCTCTTTAGGTCTAGTTATAATTGTTTTGAAAAATGTCCCTTCTTTAAAATATCTTAACATGTTTCTGTAAATTGGAATGTTTACCTAGCATAGATTATAAAGGACAAAGCAAGAAATAGAATTCTAGCAGTGTTTCTTCTTTATTTAATGTATTTTTAAAAGCTTCTCTTATTGGTTGGCATTAATATTAAGTTTAGAGCTCTTGGGATTACCATTTATTGATGTTAAACAATGTAGTTGAATGTCAGTAATTTGTATGGCTGACCTGATAAAGTTACAGATCATTTATGGTTGGCATGTCATGAGTTGCATTCACTTCAGTGAGTCTTTTTCATTTAACACCTTTCAGTTTTTAGTGTAGATTTCTAGAGGTGATATGGAATTGTTTCCTTCAGAATTTGCTGTTTTTAAGCTTCTAAAACTGCTGTAAATGTCAGTTGGGTGAGAAGATAGGCTTCAGTGTGAAAGTCAAGCATGTGGGAACTTCTGAAAAAAAGCAATGAGTGAATAGTGTTTAAAAGGTACTTTTTAACATTTAGGACAAACTGAGGGGCCTTGAACACACATAAAATGGAAATACATTCCAGTTCAGGCTTTCAGATTCTAAGCTGGGCAGGGCTTTCTCTTTATTGCCTTATGAAAAGTGAATGCCTTTATGACTTTTGTGAATGAACTCAGATAATTCTTCATCACAGAATGTTCTTTGACTTGTTTTACAAATTCTACCTGTTTTAAGTCTTCTCTGGGAAACTTCATAATTTTCCCAGCTTTTATCATTTTTTTCCATTTTCTAAATCACCTTTTATAATATTTTAATGTATTTTATACACAACTTAGCAGATACATTATCATGTTTATACTGTTGTTTCTTTTGACTTAAAGCTTTTCTTGCTAGGTGGGAATTTATTTTACTTGAAAATGCTTATTGTGGTAAACACGTAACAGGTGTTCGATGAATTGATTACACTGGGAAGCAGACTAAATGGGAGAAAATTAGAATGATAACTGCTGTATTGAGTGATTCATGGGTAAATTTTTTCTAAATGTTTATAATTTTGCTGTATTATTGTAAACATTTATAAATAACAAGTAACCATTAGATATTTTTCAAAATTATGTCTTAAACTTATCATTGTTTTAATAACTTTGTGTTCAAGTGTATATTATTCACATAGTGTCTTAATAGCTATGTTAAACTTATTTTATAGGAGGAAAAGACAGACGAAGTGGCCTCATTCTGACAATTCCATTATGCCTCGAACAAACAAATATGGATGAATTGAGTGTCACTTTGGACTACCTACTCAGCATTCCCAGGTGACTCTAAAGGTGTCTTTTCTTAAATACCAATGTTTTTAGTGGCTTAGTTATTCTTGATGTTGTTAAAGTATACTTAGCTATTTTGTCTGCTTTTATTAGCTGTGAAATTATAATTTAAAATGCTAGAATCAGTAATTAATACAACATACTAGATAAAATGCTTTATTATATGCTCATGATATACAGATTGATTAGTAAAATGAATGTACTGCCGACTTTTCAGTAATGTGCCTATGTCCTATGGAATTTAAGAAGAATTAGAGAAGTGAATTTTTTTAGATCACTGTTTCACTGTATTGATATAAATGCATCAGTAGGTTCTAATTGAATAAAAGCTTAAGTTTCAAATATTTTTATTTTAAAAATACAAAAAGGTTTATTTATATTTTAATTCATAGGTTCTTGAATGTCTGATTTTCATAGTTCCTGAGTGAAGCAAAAAAACGAAAAAACCTTTCTGTTTACTCAGCTCTACTCATCACTTTTAACAACAACAACAAACAAAACCCTGCCCAATTTCCTCTCTCGTAATTGTTATTTGCAGGGCCAAATTATAACTACATACAAGAATCGTCTGGAGTTTTTGTTGTTTTATTTTTCAAATTCTAATGCCCAGGGGATCTACTTCTGGAGATTCAGATCCAAATCTGTTCAGCACCATTTTCTTTAATCCTTTAAGCTTCCCATATGATTTTAACATGCAGCCAGATTTGCAAAACACTGCAATAAAGCATGAGAATGAGGGCAGGTTTATGTGTGTATGTGTTAAAAGGTAGCAGTACGAAAAAGAGCCGGTCTCTTACAGAATGCTCTAAAGCTCTAGAATGAATTGAAAGCATTTTAGCTAGAGTTGACAATTCTTTTTTTCTCTTCCTGTATTTGCATTTTATTGTTATAATAGTTTATTTTAAATCATTTTGCAGAGCATCAGGTTAAAACTGTATTTGAGAAAAACTGCTTTTAATCACATTTACTTCCATTATTGAGCTATGATTTGATTATTGGTGATTATTTTCAGTATTGGGGATATAAATCTCTTAAAGTGAAATTTTTCTTTTCTCCTCTTCTTCTTCCTCCTTTCCTCTCTCTTTTGGTCCCTTCCCCTCCTCCTCCTCTTCCTCCTTTACAGGAAAATCACTGGATCCTAGAGTCAGTATTAATTTTGAATAACCTCACTAATCCTTTGAACTGCTGATTGCTAATTTGTATTGCTTACTGTTAGTTAACTGATTACTTTTTAGTTAACAGAAACTAGGCACATTTAATAGCTAACAATGAAAATAGTATTCACAGATGGATTCATGGAATGTTAAATGTTGCAGGGAACTTGGAAACTATCTGAACCAACTTTCTGATTTTATATTTGGGGAAATAACTCTTAACTCAGCGGTTAGGGTTATCTGTCTAGCACAGTGGTGGTGAGCCTATGGCACTCATGCCACAGCAGGCTGTTTGTATCATTCAAAGCTCTAAAACATTCACCGTCACTGGTCTGGGACCACACTGTTAGTATTAAAGCTGAGACTAAAGTCTGTCAGTCCTGATATCAATCCAAGAACTTTTTGTACTTCATAGGAGTAGAGTACAGTGTAGTTCTGGATCTGATGTTCCAGTGATATGAAAAAGTTACTCATAGTCAGAATTACTATTGAAAAACGCCTCAGCAGGATTAGAGACCTACATGTAAATCAGTTTTTTGAAATTGTAGAAAAAAACTTCTGTTATAGAAGAAACATCAGAAAGAAGAGGCTTAACCACTTGACAGTTTACCCCGTGTCACTTGGGCAGCGCATCGTTTACATATTAACTATGCTGAGCAACAGGTGTCATTTCAACATTGATTTTTGTTTGCGTGAGATACACTCATATGTCTGTTTCATATCAAATGTTTTTGCATATTTTTTATTTAGAATACTGTATTTGCCTTTGATACTTGTTTCTAGTGAAATTAATAAGTGCTTGTTATTTTCTTTTACTGATTTGTGTTTATTTTGTGAAAAATTACCTGTAATTTTGTGCTACAATCTATAAAAACTCTTATCATAAGTATATTAGATATAAATTTTATATTTCTCCAGAACTCAGTAATATTCTTTTACAATACAGAATGAACACGTTTAGGACACTGAGACTGAATAGGAAGCAAGGGCCAAAAGATCTGCAAAAGAACTAAAAAAGGTAGAAATGTTAGCATATCAGAGAGGAAAAATCTGTTATGAAATTAAAAGTTGTCAACTACTCATAAAACAGAAAGGATGGAACTTGAAAGAAACAAAACTGAAAAATTTCCAGTAATGATCAGTGATTGTAATAGTTCTATGAATGGTGTTGACAGAGTTGACCAACAACTAACAAGCTATCCTTGTAATCAAAAAGCAAGGAAAAAATATTATTATATAATATTTATGCACCTTCTGGACCAAACAATATGGAACTCATTGGTTATTTATTCAAAACAAGGGGGTTCAAAAAGTCATTTACAGTTTAGAGTAGGTCTAATAGATCGAGTAATTGAAAAAAAGAGGATAGCCAAATGTCAACTAGGACGTCCATCATTGATGCCTTCACCATTAATTTAGTGGGTAGACATTTTATTGAAATTATACCACTCACAGAAAAAATGAAAAGGCCAGCCTGACAGTGTAAAGTGTGTTCAAAGAACAACAATAATGCAAAAAGAATTCAGAAAAGAGACTATATACTACTGTCCAGATTGTAACATTGTGTTGTATATTGAATATTTTAAGATATACCATACACAGAAAAATTATTAAATAAATTTGATGAAAGTATCATTGTTATATTTCCTTTTATATTATCTTATAAAATTAATGGAGAAATGCAATTTTTGGTCATCTTATATTTAAATAATTAGATTGTAAGTGGTTAATGACTTGCTAAAAATCACATAAACGTGAAGGTGATGATTTCAGTCACTCAGTAGATATGTGAGTGCCTACAAGGAGCTTACCTGCAAGAGCTTCTAGTGTTCTAGGTGCTGAGCAAGTGGGAAGAAGGCCAATTCAGATTCAGGGTGACCAGAACGCCCTTAGGGTGAGAAAAACATCACAAGTGTGTGACACATTCCTGAGTTTATGAAACCAAAGCAAGAAGAGTCGGGAGAGTGATGGAGTGGGAGGGTGGTGGTGGTGATAGTTTATCAAATGATAAGGTAGCATTTTACCCAACATAACTGAAGTGTTGAGGGAGCCCTACACTACCTGGTGAAAAAGTGTTAGAGAGAAGGGGGTGTTAAGTGTGAAGGCCCTGAGGCAGGAGCAAGTTTGGCATGCTGTAGAAACAGTGAGGAGGCCAGTGTGGTTCCAGCAGTTTGAAAGAGGGCTGGGAGGTGGTCCCAAGGAGAGGCTGGGGTCAGTTGTCATACAGACAACCAGGTAGAGTATGGTGCAGGCTTTAGTTCTGAATGAGGAGGAAAGCCATTGTGTTCCGGCTTAGGAGTGATGTGATGTGTGTCATCTCCCATTTCAGAAGACCCTCTGAATTTAAAGTACTGCGCTAGAAGCTGCCAAGCAGAACTCTGGATGGAACAGAAGGGGCCCCTAGTTTTAATCAAAGAAATCTATGAAGAGCAGCAGGATGCTTACTGACCCAGGAGATCCCTTGGTAATCTGTGTCAAAAGCGAGTGAGCTTTTTAAAGAGCCTCACTTCTTTTACAGAGCTGTCTTGACTTGGCCACGTTACCTTTGAAAGGCTCTGATGGAGTTGACACAGGAGGCAGGATTCTAGATTTTTTTTTCTGTACTGCTTTAAAAATACTTGCCAGTATTAGCAGTAGTGTGAGGATTTGTTAATAACAGCACTTTAGGTCTTCCAGCATGCCTTTTATAAAGGCATAAAGGCACAACATGCTTCTGAGTTAAGTTGTTTTTAAAAGCAGTTTAAACCATTGTTCCACTTGTAGGAATAAAGTTAAAAAATACTATTTCCTTTCTGTATTTGAAAAACCAAATGGTCTTTTAATCTTTGAGTTGTATATATTTTTATTTTCTTAGTAAAATGTGAGAAAATTATGATTAAGGGTGTTTTTAAGTACTCGCAAAGATAAATGTGGTGTTTTATTGCTTTGAGATCCTTACAGATGGTATTTGCAAGCTTCATTACTTTCTTAGTTGTAATGCACAATTAATTTATAGTGTGCTTTGAAATATAAATGTGTAGTTTTTGTAAAATTTATTTAACAGAGTGGATGTGTAATTTTCATCTCAGAGATGTAGATGCTGATGACAAGAATCTACCACTTGCGGGAATGGCACACTCTTGGTGGAAAGGCCCTCCACTGGACGGCTCTGCATTCAGGCTCCCCTGCCTGCAGACTCCCATAATGCACTAGGAGAGTCCCTGAGTTGTTGCCACTTGTCCAGAGGCCACTCACGTCAGCTACCCTGTCTAGGCTGACCTTTCTGGGGCTCATAGTGGTCTTCCTGTGGGTCTTGCTGGTGGAGACTCCAGGGATTTTCTCCCTACCTGAGCCCACAGCTAGTAATTAAATGTGAGACTTGCTTTCCTTCACACATGAACATTTTCATACACTTACTAATCTGGAAGTGAACATTGTATTGTATCACCTTTTTAAAATTTCATGAATTTTATTGGTATTTTTTAGGTATACAATATGCTGACATTCATTATTGGGAATTTGTACCTTTACGTAATATATCTTGTTTCTTATTTTTTTCCCCATTCCCCTGCCCTCTGTTCAACCTTTCCACCCCTCCCTAGTTAACAAAGACTTTGATTTCATTTTTTCCTTTGCTCATATTTTTAACTTTCCCCTGCCCATCCCACTTTCCCTTTGTCTTTGGAATTTTTCTTCCTATTTCACATTATCTGTTATATATTTTGATCCTCATTTACACTTTCAGTTTCTCACACCAGAGAAACTATTCAGTATTTACTGTTCGGTGTGTCCTATTTATTTCACTTAAGAGTATGGCCTCAATGCGCATCCATTTAGCTATAAATGTCTCTAGTTTCTCATTCTTTACGGCTGAGTGGTACTCCATTTTGTAAAAAAACCCATTTTCTTTATCCAGTCTCCAGTTGTGCAGTTGATCCTTTATTTTGTAATGTAGATCCAAAGAGAGAACATTTTTTTAAATTTGAGATTTAATTTACGTAGCATAAAATTCACCCCTTAGTAAGATATAATTCAGTAGTTTTTGGTACATATACAACCTGTCATGCTAATTCCAGATAGTTTCTATTATCCAGGATAATCTCTGTACCTATTAGCAGTCACTCCCCACTTCCCCACCAGCAGCTGTCAACCACGCATGTGTTTTGTGTCTCTGTAGATTTGCCTGTTATGGACATTTTCTGTGAGTGTAGTCATACAATATGGGCCTTTTGTGTCTGGCTTCTTTTACTTAGCATAATGTTTTTAAGGTTAATCTGTATTGTGATGTGTCAGTTCTTCATTCTCGTGGCTGAATGATATTTCGTTGTTTGTATCTATGTTAATCAGTTGATGGGCATTTTGACTGTTTCTGCTTTTTGACTATTGTAAATTACACTACTGAGCATTTACGTGCAGTTTTTCTGTGGACATATGTTTCAGTTTACCTTACTTCTTGAATACTTCTCTATTTACTTTGGAAGATGGGCCTCTGTCCCTACCTAGAGACGAACTTGTTCAGATTTTTAGTGTATCATCCTCATTCTTGTGGTCTTACTGTTTCTCAGTAGAATGGAACACACATTACTTGACAAGAACCCTTTTGGGACTCATATGAATGCTTAGAAGGCATTGGGGAGGACCAATAAAATATCCTATATTGGAGGCTGATCAGACCCCTAACCACCTAACCAAGGGTACAGTGGCAGGATAATAAAAGACAAGACAAGATCTTTACTACATAAAGGAGGCTTAGGATGGTCAAAGCTCTTATCAGGCTAAGATGCTGTCTCCTAGAGCTTGCTGCTATTTATCAAACACAAAGCTTCGTGAAGGGGTGAGGGTGATTTAGGGAACAGTGGAGTGGAGAGCACTGATGCGAGCAGGGTCCTAGCAATACAGGAATAAGACATTCTAGCAGGAACAGATCATTGATTAATGGGAAATGTTTTTCCCTTAAATTTTGCTTTTATAAAAATTTTGTATACGAGTCATGTTGCCTTTAGCTGTAATATGCCTTGCTATCCAAGACGTCACAACGTCATGGATCATTGAGACATCTGCTGTGACCAGTGGCATGGGAAGTTGTTCCTTTCCCACACACCAACTGCCAGCTCTTCAGGAAAGCCCTTGTGGGCTAATAGGCAGACTCAGACTTTTAGTATGAAAAGCCAATTTATAATTTTGTAGCTCGCTCTAAGTGTGGTCTCCATCACTCCTAGGTTTTGGACTTAAATCCCAGAAGAGGTCTGCTGTTTACCTTTCCTTTAAGTATGCGATTGGGAGAACTTTGGGTGGGGACAGCTTCCATTATCATATCTGTGCCCTGGGAAGTCAGGCTGCAGTTCCTTTCTCTATATTGGAGGGAGGCCACTTAAGATCCTTGCATTAAGTTAATAAGTGAAGAATAATAACAATAATAATAGCTATATAGTTTCATCTTCAGGATGGAGTTTTCTATATATAAGTTGTATTTTTTTTTTTTTTTTTTTTGGTATTGAGGATTGAACTTGGGTCCTTGGGCTTGCGAGGCAGGCAGCGGAACCACTGAGCTAAATCCCTGGCCCTATAAGTTGTATTTTACTAGGGTAGACTTCTGGGATTTATTTAATAATTAATTGAATAATTAAATATGTCTTAAAAACAACACATTTTCTAACACTCAGGATCGTGTTTTGCTGGTCAGGTGACTGAGAGTGAGAGAGTAGAGATGGATCAGATGTGATATATTCAAGATTACAGTCACTTTGTATAGCAAGTACTACTGTATCATTAAATTTACTCAAAAGACCACCAAGAAGCTAGCTCCCAGTGGTTTATTAGAAGCTTACTGCTGGGGTTGGTGGTGCATTCCTGAAACCTCAGCACTCAGGAGGCTAAGGCAGGAGGATCAACAGCTGGATACCATCTTGGGCTATATAGTGAAACCTTGATATAAACAAAGAACAAAAAAGTTGTTATTTTCTACCTTTTCAAAACTGTCACTTCATAAATCTTGTATTTCTGGTAGGAAGGAGAGACAGGAAGTACATAAGACCCTTGGCAATCATTAGTTACTTGCTTTGATCCCATTTACACATGAAGAAATTGAGAGATGGGTGAGACTACTTGAATGTTGCCTTGATTTCATTGCTTTTTAAGACATTAAGTTTTTATGTGTTTAAAATATTAACTTGTGAATTTATACTTCCTGAAAAAGAGAAAAATAAATTGCTTCAGAAAGCTGAAAGAATACTCTGAAGAGTTTTACTTAATGATATTAGGCCAAACTGAGGTGAATTCTACTCCATAGATTATTAAGCCTTTTACCTTCTTTACTTAGAATTATGAAATCTAGTGTTTTAATATTTTAAAATTTTGTTTTGTTTCAGTGAAAAGTGTAAAGCTAGAGGATTTACTGTGATTGTGGGTGGCAGAAAATCACAGTGGAATGTGGTGAAAACAGTAGTCTTAATGCTACAGGTAATTTTTTTTGTCTATCAGGAGGAAATGGCTTTTATTTTATAGCAACAGTTCATGGTGAAAATGCATTTTATTGGACTATACTTGGACTCCTTAGTAGTATCTGAGTTGTGAAAATGCACAAAGAACTATTGGATTAGTTAAGTTTCATTGCTGTATGTATGTGTGTGTATATATATA